TCCCAGTTCTGCTGGGTCCCATCTTCAGGACTCGCAGTGGGAAGGAAGCATTTTCATTAGTTGCTAAAAACTTTTTCCTTCTTTCAGATGCAACCGTCACTTAGCAGGCTATTTTTGCTCGTCGGAGTGTTTTTATTGTTAGAGTTGGGGGTGTGAAGAGAAGGTGGGGTTGATTTTAAAACTTTAAAATATGTATTGAGCTTCACTCTGAGCCTTCATAGATCACCTGTCTTATACACAGTCTGCAAACACATGCAAATCAGATTTCGGACAAGGTAACCTGAAAAGTGCACTGAGCGGACCAAATTCTGACTCCCCTACACATTGTATTGTTTGTAGAGAAGTTTCTCCGCAGTAGGAGAACTAAACGTAACAAGTGCATGGTACTTAGCACCAGGCCTGAGACATCGTGAGTACCCAAGAAATGATGGTTGGCGCAGTTGTACAATACCAATAATCTTTCCGAAGTAGTGACAGTCCTCCTATCTCTTGCGGCAGCTCAGCTACCGAGACAATCGAAGAACAGGCACCAGTCCTGTTGTCGGTCTGGATGGCCTTCTCGGTGACAGAAGGTGGCTGGACTCAAGGTTTTCTGAAGTTACTTCCAAACTCTCCATCTCTTTGCCAATTTTAGACCAGACTCTAGCTTCACTAAAAGTAGGTCATGCGTATCTCTCATTCCTAAGAAGCGTGTTCCAGCACTCTGCAACAGCGAACCTCTGAGAACCAACGTCACACTCGAAATGTTTACCAAACCTGTAACCCAACATGCTGAGCAGGTGGGGAGTCACCCTGCTAGTGATCTCCAGGAATGCCAGCACAGTCTCCAACACAGTATGAAGTTGGACCCATTTTTCCCTTGCAGGAAAGCTGCGTTAATTTGTGTTCATTCCCTATCACTACTAGCAATCAAAGAACCCAAGAGAAAATACACAGTATTTGCCTGTCTGGCTATATAATCCAGGGCATTCCTCTATTATACGATATTGTCAGAAGCCAATATACCTTCTCCGAGAGAAAGTGTACCAGGAAGAAGAAAAATAACCATCGAAGAGTGGAAGCCCTTATCATCGTCACTAAGAACGAAAATGTCCCAGTGTCAACGGACCCGCCCTCTGCTAAGGAAGTGAGCGCTTTGACATGCGACGAGGGGCAATCTCCAAATAACCTGCTACCAAAGCACTAAAAATCGCATCTGCGTCCTTGTCAAAACAGCCCGCCCCCCACCGCCTCCGCCGCAGTTTGCATTCTGCTTTCACCGCGGCGGCATCATCATGACGACTACAAAAAGCGGACTCACCCGTGCGGTAGACAAAGTTGCCTTCTGTTTCTGAGGACGACGGGGACACCAGCTCTTCCTCAAATTCATTGGAGCTAAACGAGCCCGAATGGTTTCTTTGCCTTGTTTTTCCCATCATGGCGGTGTTGGTGGCCATGACGTGCCTCAAAGAGTCATTAAGGTAGCGGTTCAACAAGCTGCTCTTGTATTTGGGGGGTGACACGTAGTCCTCGCTTGCACTGGACCCCGGTCTCGCTCCAGTCTGGATCACCGAGCTCTCACTTTGCAGCACGGGGTGATGAACGGGCTTGGGATAGGCGCCTTCGTTCATGTGGTTCCGTGGCGGGTTCTCACCATCTACAGGAGACATATGTCACGGGGTAGCTGATTCCTTCACCCAATCCCCTCCGCTGTCATTTTAACCATTAAACATCGGGAAAAACATACTGAAAGTGTATAGAACTATCCTTGGTATTAGGGATTAATTTTCAGGCAAACAAAAACAAAGATTACATGGGATGTCATTACTGTTTGAATTTTACAGAAGGCACTATTCTGACACCGCATAAATCTATAAACTAGAGGAAAAGGCCATCATTCTGCAGGTCACGTACAGTCCTGTAAAAGTGAAGTAATCTCAGGCCATAAAAAGCCCCCCCGATTGTATACCGTGCTATTCTGTGGGCCTAGCCTTAAAAATAGCAAGTGCGGCAACCTTCTTATCCCCGACACAGAGCAAAGAAAACATGAACATACCTTCAGAGCATGAATCGTCGCTGCTCACACTAAGCCGCTCAGCATTCCCTTGGACATATTTGTTGTACAATTTTATTCTCAAAGCCCAGCTTAAGTCTGGCTGGCGGACAGTATTCTTAAGCCGACGTCTCGCATTGGCAAACCAGTTTGACACCTGAAAGAGTTATTAATTTTAATTAACAAAACATGAAAATAATAATAGTAATGCATCACACACGGTTACTAAACCCTGAGGGATCTGAGCTTTTCTCGGCATCTCTCTGACCACTGCATCTTCTCAGGGCTCAATGGCAACTGGTCATTGAGACTCATTCAACAGGTGTACCGAGCACTTTGCATGACAATCGGGCATTGATTACATTATCAGGATAATTTTGTAAGGATTTTCCATCAATAAAATGCCACTCAAGTAAGAAAGAAAGGATAGTGGGTTTTTGTGTTGGTGGCTACTGAGTTGTTCTGACTCTTCAACCCCCAGCCACCCAGTAGAACTGCTGCACAGGGCTTTCTCGGCTGTCACCCTTCTGGGATCAGACCATCAAGTTGGGTCCCATAGAGCTGTTTAGTAGGTTCTAATGATCAGCTTTTCAGTTAGCAATGAGTACTTAAGAGTTTGTACCACTAGAAAATCCTTAATGAGAGAGATACCATAGAATCCAAAACGTTCTAATAAAAGAAAAAAAGAGATAAATGGCCTAAGAGGCACTAAAACAAAATGATACAGGAATACAAAGGAAGAAGGGGTTACTCCAATATGACCCAAGAGCATGTGAGGAATTTAACCCAGGCTTTAGTGGAAGCACAGAACATTCCAGGTAGCATGGGTATTCCCAGTGAAGAGGGCACAGGAACAAACATCGATCATAATTCAAGAGACCGTGGAGAAAGAGGAAAGGGTTCACTATCCATCAACCTGTGTAATCAAGAGAAGGGTCCATTTGTGACTTACAGCGACACCATGTGGTAGAGCAGAGCTGCCTCACAGGGTTTCTGGGCTGTCATCATGATGGCAGCAGATCATTTGGTCTTTCTCCCAGAGTTACTGGATGGATTTGAACCACCCACCCTTCATTCAGCACCCAAGAATTTAGCCATGATGCCACTAGGGCTCCGAAAAGTGAAGTGGAAATGGTACCATTCTGCAAGAGCAAATTGTCTCGTTTGGGGTGTATTCGGTTAGGGGACAGTTTAGTGTGAGGCACTAGAAGAGTATTCAGGGAAAATATCCTTCAAGAATATCAAAGTGTGTGCCTCGGAAAGTTAGAGAGACTCAATTTTGGAATCAAGCACACAGAGGCGAACCTGTTGAGAAGTTGAACCTGTGAGAGAAGGCAAGAAGACATGATATGTAGGAACAGCCTTAGGAAACCACATCAAGGAGAGGATTATTAGAAGAAGAGCTGACTAAGTAGTCAAAGATAAATTATTTATATAGGTAAGAATAAGACGAAGAAGCCAAAGGACATCCTTGTTGAAGCTCAGAGTCCCATATTTTCCAAGCAGAGGTGTGATGGGAGAAAAAATAAGACGAGGAAAACACTGAAAACTAAAGAAAAATTACTTCAATTTTTAAAAGCTTCTAGCACAGTGGTTCTCAACCTGTGGGTCGCCACCCCTTTGGGGGTTGAATGACGTTTTCACAGGAGTCGCCTGATTCATTCATAACAGTAGCAAAATTACAGTTATGAAATAGCAACAAAAATAATTTTATGGTTGGGGGTCACCACAACACGAGGAACTGTATTAAAGTTGTGGCATTAGGAAGGTTGAGAACCACTGTTCTAGAGCAGGTGGCCTCAAATTGCGGCCCGTGGGCCACATGTGGCCCACTGAGGACATTTATCCAGCTCGCTGGGTGTTTTTGCCCCATTTGTTTTTTTCACTTCAAAATAAGATATGTGCAGTGTGCATAGGAATTTGTTCATGTTTTTTTAAAAAACTATAGTGCGGCCTTCCAATGGGTCTGAAGAACAGTGAACTGGTCCTCTGTTTAAGAAGTTAGAGGACCCCTGTTCTAGAGGTTAAGATGGCACTTGAGGTTGATTAGAAAATATCGGTACAAATATATAATTACGTATTTTATATTTTTATATATAGTCACATATAATATAAAAGAGTATGCATAAAGACCAATATGTTAGGCACTATAATGTGAACAAAAATAGATTGGTAGAGGAGATCCCGGGAAGATGGCTGCCAGATAGGCAGCTCAGGCCCAGAGCTCCGAGATCAGTGAGTGGGGAGAATTGGGGGCAGAGTAGGGGTACCAAATTTGTCTGTTCGATTCCCAAGACCAATCAGAGCATCTCTTGGACCCAAAGGTAGACTCCCACCCATAGCCAGGGCTCTGCGCCGACACCCGTGGTCTCAGGTACGGCGCTCCACGCGCCCGCTCTGCCAGGACCTGCACCACAAGGCAGCCAGGTGCACGGTGGAGGCTGCACCCGCCTCAGTGCTCCGCACAAAACTGTCAGTCAGTAACCCCCACCCCGCATCATGGAGCCCTGGGCCCGTGTGTGTTCCAGTCGGCAGACCGCCCCCCACCCCCTGCAGATTCGGGCCCCACCCAGGCACCCCTCACGGTCCAGCAGGCAAGACCCTCTCCCCATCTCCCCGGAGGCACACTCCTGGCACCACAGCCAGTCGGAAGGCAGAGTCTGAGGACCTGCCTCTGGGCTCCGTGCAAACTGCCGATCAGACCTGCCTGCACGCTCAGAGGTCCCAGCCCAGAGGAGCCTGCCCCATCACTGGGCTCCTTGCAGATCAGCCAGCCAGCCCCCTCCCTCGGCCTCCCCCCCCCCATCCACCCCCCTATACACGTACACACCTGTGCGTGCGCGGGGACACACACACACATGCATTCAGAGATTCCCATCCTGTCACACCGCTTCAGGCCGGCCAGGCAGAAGACCCAAGTCTAGCAGAACTTTCTGCAGCTGTGGCATAAAAACCCAAGCCTTAGGGTATTTCTCACTGGATTCTCCCTTCTCCCTGCTCAGTCTGTCCCACCCTTTGGGCTCCAAGCAGTGCATCTGCACACCAGTCGCAGCCCCCCTCCCACCTGCCTACCTGAGGGAAGTGTCCCTAGCCAGAAACAGATCACCCAATCCCCAACCCATCCCCTAAATGCGCTCCCCTGCACTGGGGTCAATACTTTCTATCAGACCGCAGCGTGCACAGCTGCAAACAGCCCCTAAGGAGACCTGAGGGTGGCTGGAGCACAAACCATAGGAGAAGGCGAGAGGGGATCCCCAGAAGGACAAATGTGACACACAACCCCTCAAGGCAGTTGGCTAAAGGCAGCCAGCTGAAGCACCAACCTCCCAAAGAGAGGTCAGGGCTCTGAGACACCCCGGAAAATGGCACCAAGTGCCCACAAATCGAACAAAACACAGCAAGCTGCTTCCATAGCTTTAACAAGAAAAGAGAAACAAAAGCAATGCCAGAGGGCCACCTGGACCCAACAGCAGTCATAGAAAAGGCAGAGGTTGACCTCCCACGGAAAGAAATCTTCAGAATGCTGCTGGGAGCCATACAGGACATGAGGGAAGCATTACAGAAAAAGGATGAAATGATAGAGGAATTAAAGGCTATGCACCAAAGGGAAATACAGGAGTTAAAGGGTGAGATAACAAAAACTAATAGCAAACTCACGGACTGCGCCCAGAGATTGGAGGAGGCAGAGAACCGCACCAGTGGCCTAGAGGATTCACAAGCAGAAATTAATAAATGTGACAAAAGGCATAACAAGTCCATCAGAGAAGCTGAAGAAAACCTTAGAACTATGTCTGACGCTATGAGAAGGAACAATTTCAGAATTATTGGCTTGCAGGAGGAATCCATATCAAAGAAATCCAAAATAGTAATAGAATGCTTGAAGGAAAACTTTCCTAACTTAACAAAAACCAGGCAACTATCCAGGAGGCTGAAAGAATGCCAGCTAGACTGAATCCCCAGAAGAAGTCACCAAGACATATAGTTGTTAAACTATCCAACTATGAGGAAAAGGAGAAAATCATGAGAGCAGTTAGAGAAAAACAGGCAACCACATATAAAGGCAAACAGATAAGAATATGCTCAGACCTATCAGCAGATACTATGAAGAAGAAGAGACAGTGGAGCAGTATATTCCGAAAATTGCAGGAAAATAACGCAAACCCAAGAATACTCTATCCAGTGAAATTATCTATCAAAATAGATAGAGAAGTGAGAGTCTTCCCAGACAAGGAAAGCCTCAAAGAATATGCTAAAAGGAACCCAGCACTACAAAACATCCTCCCTGACCCAGTATGGGCAGAAGAACAACACTCACCAAGCACATACAAGAGACCACCACACAGAACAACTCCACCCAGAGACCATCAAAGGGAAAACAGCCCCCAAGATAAAACTGGCACAACGATGGAAAGAAGGCAAGAATGAACCGCAAACACACATATGCACAATCCACGGAAAAGAAACGGAGGTAGGAAACTACCCAATACAAGAGAGATAAAATGACATCACAGGGTCCACAGATAGATGTAATAACCATGAATATTAATGGGTTGAACTCAGGCCTTAAGAGACAGAGGCTAATAGACTGGCTTGGAAAACACAAACCCTCGATCTGCTGCCTACAGGAAACACAACTCAACATTACAGATAAAAACAGGCTGAGAATCAAAGGATGGAGACATTGTCGGGAAAACTCTAATTCAAAAAAAGCAGGGGTTGCAATCCTAATCTCAGATAAAATTGACCTCCAAGTGCAAACTATAAAAAGAGATAAGGATGGACACTATATAATGCTTAAGGGAACATTACAGAAAGAACCAATAAGCATTCTAAACATTTACTCGCCAAATAAGCATCCAGCAGAATCTGTCAAGCAAACACTTCAAAGGATGAAAAAACAAACCACAGCCTCAACAATTACAGTAGGTGAGTTAGTTAATTGTGCCAGCCTGGCCGATAATCACATGTGGTGTTGGTTGAAAGGC